TATCCCCCAGGGGAAGTGTTCTGCCGCATTTACTCCCTGAAGCTTGAAAAGTTTATTTTTAAAGACAAACTGCAAGCGTGTTACACCGCACAGGGAGGGGGGAAGCTCCGAGGAGCTATGCTGAGGGAAGTGCTGGTTAAAGGTACACTCCATTTGACTATGAATACTTTGCAATCAAACTGGTTCTGTTGCTGGAATCCTGTGAATGTGTCAATAGGCAAGGAGGTCTCAACTGTGTCTCCTACCAAATACCCTCACCCTACTGGGTGTCATTAGTAATATCCAAATATATACACTCCTAAGAGTCTAAAAATGAAATACCACTCATGGAAATAATGATTCGAGAGAAGTGGGAATGGTCCACTATTTTGGCAAATATGAATAGAAACAAAATGTTCAGAGCTCCAGTACCACTGAACGTTTTATTTCTATTTATAATGCTGTGAATGCAGAATAATGTGTTCCTTGGTACCAAGGACTGTATATAATATAAACATTTATATAAAATATACTTTATATAAAACTTGTATTGATAGGTAAATGCTTACTAGATAGCATTAGCTTATTGACTGGAGTTGACTGCAGCTGTCATTAAAATATTTGGTGTGATCCTATCATGAAGGTTCTTCCTGCACAGGGTGACAAAGACTCTGTTTCTGTCTTCCTAAATTGTTCTGCTGTGTTGTCACCCTTTCACCCCTTTTGGAGCCTACAAGCCACAGAGCTGATGTACCATGTAATCATGTTTCACGGTTGCCACTATCAAGAAACCCGCTCTCAGAAATGCCATGCGGCCGTTTTTGGAGTGCATGTGGACAGTACTAGGGATGAGGTTTGGGCAGGTTCAAAATTCACGGTCCCCACAAATTATTGTGAAAATGATTGTGGAAATTTGCCAGACCAAATTCTGTGTAGCCATAATGCACTAACTTAGGTGAACTGGTTTAGAAGGGCCAATAATGGGGCTTTTGGATAAGCCAGCCCCCTCACTATAAAAGAGTGAGGTCACAGCAGCCATATTGTCCTTTAAA